TTAGGAAGGATGTTGGCAAACAAGATCATATCAAGTTGGAGGTGACCAGGACGGAACTTAAAACCATGCCACGTGAGAAGTGAAGGCCAAAAGAACTGTTTTACTTGTAGAATAGAAAACTGTGTTGGGAAATTGGAGGAAAAATAAGTATCTTTGAACATTCAGAGGTCTGACCTGAAGATAAGTTGGTCACATGGGGAGAGTGAGGGATGATAGGCAGTCCTTATTAAGTCAGGAGAAAGAGAGGAAGGCTTCCCGCATGTTGGTCAGTCCCTTTATGTTAGACTTATGAGAGGACATGGACAAAAGTCACCCAGGGTGAGGCAGGCATGAATGGGTTCCAATCAAACCAGATATCACAGATCCATTTGAGTCTTGTTGAAAAGGGATTGGACCTTTTGCTTCATGCCAGAGGGTAGACTTCTGAGCAGTGGGTGGAAGTTGTAGAGGCAGATTTAGATTAGTTGTAAGAAACTTAACAGTGTCTAAAATTGGAATGGGTCTCCTGAAGAGATAGTGAGTTTCTCAGCCCTGAAAAGCTTCAAAAGATGCCTAAACAATTAGTTGATAGGGATTCTGTAAAGGGAATTGCTTCTCAAATATAGTTAGTTCCAGAGACCTCTGTTGTTGTTTGGTTGTTTCAGTCATGTCCAACTCTTTGTTACCCCCTTTGGGGTTTTCTTGGCAAAGATACTGGAGTGGTTTGCCGTTTCCTTCTCCAGCTCATTTTACAATAAGGAAACTGAAGCAGACAGGTTAAGTGACTTGCCCAGGGTCACACAGCTAGAAAGTATCTGAGTCTAGATTTGAACTTGAGAAGATGAGTCTTCCTGATTCCAAGCCCCAGGGCTCTATCCACTGTGGCTCCTAGCTGACCTTTGAGGCCCCTTCAACTGAGATTCTCCAATCTTCATACATGAACAGCAGTCTTATTTTTTTTTAAATACATACCTCTATCTGACTTCCTTTACCTCTCCTCCCTGACCTTGTCTACAGGACCCCTGAGCACTGAGCAGCAGTTACAGCAGCTGAAGGAGGAACGGACGTGCAAAGTGTGCATGTATCAAGTGGTATCCATTGTCTTTGTTCCCTGTGGCCACTTGGTCTGTTCAGAGTGTGCCCCAAACCTGCAGCAGTGCCCCATCTGCAGAGCTGTCATTCATGGGAGCGTCAGGACTTTCCTGTCCTAGCAGAGCTCTGGTGGACTGAGCCATGCTTGGGTGAGTTAAGGGGCTCTCCCCATGCTTACTCTGCCACAAAATGGCTGTGACTTAGATCAGATTAGTTAACCTAGAATGCCAGCAGGTCAGAGATGGCAGGGGCCTTAGTAAGGATCTGGTCCAACTTCCTCATCTAATAGACAAGGAAAAAGGTCCAGAGAAAAGGGTCAAATGGCAAATAGCGGCCTGAAGTTCTAGGTTAGGCCAAGGTCAAATGGCTATTTAAAACTTCCATTTCTCTTCCCTATTTGTAAAATGGAGCTTATCTGAAAGCACTGTTTTGAGGCAGAGAGAAATATTGCCCTGGAAAGGACAAAGAGGTCTTTGCAAAGAAAAAAGTGTCACATGAATTCCAGGTACTATTATGTTTAACTCCTGGGTTTGTTTACTTGAGTGCGAGGCCTCAGCAGTGTGGCAGAGCCAGCCTTAAAGTCAAGAAGTCCAGAATTCAAGCCCTCCTGCTGACATGAACTATCTATGTGACCCTGAGCAAGTCACTTAATCTCTCAATGCTCTAGGCAACTCTCCAAAGGCTATCAATTACAGACAAGGTGCCACCATACATAGGAAGAGTTCCTCAGCTGGGAGTTCCCTATACCAATGAAGTCATAGGTTTAGATAAACCCTATCCCTAGCTTATCTCATGTGAGTAGGTGAGGATTTGGTAAGGGTGATGGAAAGGTACTTTGATCTATAGAGATCTCCACGCCCTGTTACTATTTCCTTCTCCATTGGTAACCTACTGCAATCCAATGTCTGAGTAACAATGAAAATCAACCCTCCCTAGGTCTGGTCCTGACTGACTTGGTCCTTCCAGGAATTGCTGAGTTTGGGAAACCAGTACTGATTTTGGAGCCCTGAAGACATTGGGATAATGGTGGGACTGGTGACCCTGCCTTCTGAGCATACAATGATCAAGTCTCTTACCCAGATGAAGGAGCAAATGAAGTCCCAGTTTCTGACCTCATCATAGGAGCCAAAGCTGCAACTTCAAGCAAGGTTAGGTTAGTTGGGAAGTAGTTAGGGGGCATCAAAGAATAGGGGAAATAGCCCATATCTAAAACTATATAAATCTAAAACAGTCTCATAGGACATTTTTTGTTGGTTAGGGTATATACGTGTGAATTTCTGCTTTGGTTTTTGCTGTGACTGTGTTTGGAGTTCCTTAATTTTTTTGCAATAAAGTTTCTTCTGGTGTAATCAATGCCTCGAGGTCAGCCCTTGAAGGTAGGAGTCATTTGCTGAGGGCCTAATATTTTGTTCACTAATAATAATAGCCAACATTTATATAGTACTTACTTTGTAATAAGTACTGTGCTAAGAGAGTTACAATTATTATCTCATTTGATCTTTACAATATCCTTGAGAGGTAGATGCTATTATTACCTCCATTTTACAGATGAGGAAACTGAGGCAGAGTTTAAGTGACTTGCCCAGTGTCACATAGCTAGTAAGTCTCTGAGGCCAGATTTTGATTCAGATCTTCCTGACTCCAGGCCCAGCACTCTATCCACTGTGCCACCTAGCTGCCCCTAATCTGTTCTCAACCAATCTCCTGCTACTGGCATGATCTCCTCCACCAGGGTTGACTGCAATGAAATTCCATCAGTGGGGAGCCTTGAAACCCTTGAACTTGAACTCCAATCAGTGTGCCTCTAGGCAGGAGGAGGGATGGATGTCTGATCAATAGCTGGTGTCGGAAAGGAATTCCAAAGGCCCTCTGGAGGGCCACTATTTTAGGAGTTTGGATGGACCATCTTTATACAATAGATAGTAGAAAGAGCTGGAAAGGATTTTAGAGACCACTTAATTCAATTGCCTTATTTTACTGAGGAGGGGTGGTGACCAAAGAGGTGGTGACTTTCCCAAGGTCACACAGTCAGTGGCAAAGCCAGTACTCAAACTCAGACACCCAATCATCAGCTGCAAAGCAAGAAATTTCTTCTTAAAGAATCTTGATTTCTGGGGCAGCTTGGTGGCACAATGGATAGAGCACCGGCCCTGGAGTCAGGAGGACCTGAGTTCAAATCTGGCCTCAGACCAAACACTTGACACTTACTAGCTGTGTGACCCTGGGCGATTCACTTAATCCCAATTGCCTAAAAAAACAAACAAACAAAAAAGAATCTTGATTTCAGTATTCTTTTTAAAATGTGAGTACACATTTCAAGAATCTGATTTTTTTTTTCTTTTTGGTGTGTTAAATCTTCTCCAAGCAAACACATTGTTTTCTGGGAGGCATCATACTTTAGGCTATTAGCCACTCAACCGGAATTCAGATTAGAATGTAGGCTGCAGCTGTCTGTGCTGGGGTGCAATTTCAGGACCTTCTGAATCCCTGAAATCTCTCTTCGGTTTCCTAGTACCTAAAATCCCTTTGGTCAGAGAAAGCTTAACTATATGCAGATCCAAGGAAGAAGGAACAAAGATTTAGCTGTGATGTACCATAAATGATCAAGATTAGAATTCTTTCTTGTTAGCAGCAAGGGAGCGTGGAGGCCAGCAGTTACAGGGAGGTGCGTGGGGCTAGAGGAAGGAAGAAAGGGTGAAGACAGTGGTAGCACAGAAAGTTGGGACTGAGAAGACTGGAGGGATTCGCTTCATCTTTTTGCTTGGGGCCCTTCCAGCTGCTGGTGCTGCCCTACTCTACATGCAGGGGGCAGCATTATTCCATACTTTTGGAGTCTTTGGGTGAGCCAGGTATATAGACAGATATTGAGCATGAGTCTTTCAGGTTTGGGATCAGGCATTTTCTCATTTTAGTGAAATGTGGTCATGCATACCAATGCCCTGCTAATTTACTCCTTATCAAAGATGACCCGATGAAATGATGAAGATCAGCTTTATCTTTGTCCAGCTCCTGCTTCCTAGAACTGGGGCTCTGTGATGGTCAATGGAGTGACCTATACATTTAGAATACATTAAAGACATCAGACTGGTTCTTTTGTCTAAATGTATAGTCAATTCATAGACTCGGAATCACCAAATCTCAGAGTTGGAAAGGACCTCAGTAATTTAATCAGGGGGTCATGGATTTAAAAGTGGACATCTAGTTCAACTAACACATTTTACAGATGGGAAAAATGAAGCCCAGAGAGGTCTTGTTCCAAAGTTGCACAGTAAGCTAGTGACAGAGTCAAACCTGGGAAAAAGATCTCTTGAATCCCAGCCCATAGCTTTACTGCTAGATGATTTTGCTAACTAATATGTTCCTAAAGTTGACCAGTGGGCCCCCAGAGAATGTTTGTGTCCAGTAAAAGCTGTTCCACAAGAGAGGTACCCCCAGAGGTTCAACTTGCTTTCAAATAAATAAAATTGCAATGAGTTTAGAAATGGCATATGATTATTGAATTTAATTGTTCACTCAATGACCATGGCTCATGAAGATATTCCATTAACATATGTGTATATACATACATATTTTATATATATATATATATACACACACACATATATATATATATATAAATATATATATACACACATATTCCTCCCTTGTCTCTGCCATATCTTTCACTACCCCACTTCCTACAGACAAACTCTTCCACTTTTAGCTCAGAGCTCAAGTGCTCTGAGGTCATGGAATGAAGAGAACAAAGTCATCACAGAGGCCTGGGGTACCTGTTGTATCTCAAAGGCAAACTGAGGCTGGGGGTAGCAGGAGGGATCACATACAACATACAAAGTTCACCAACTTTGCTCCACTGATGCAAATGGCATCCAATGTGACATGAGCCATAGGGTAGGAGCAGCTGTGAGTACATACATGTGTGATTTTTGTTTTTTCTTTCCTTTTTTTTTTTTTTTTTTTTTTAAAGAAAATTACAAAAACAGTAGGCATCTGCAGCTGGGTCGTGACTATGCCTATCTCTGAGGGCCAGGAGACCCCAGATGGGCAGGAGGTGGAGGTGGGGGGGAAGGAGGTGAGGCCTTTAGGCTATAGTTTTTGAAACCAGGCCTGAGGCAAGGCAGGTTAAAGGCCCAGGGTCCTAGGACACTTGGGATGGGGATGAGGATCATTGGGATGCTCAGACTCAAAACAGGAATGGCCCAGCCATATGTAGTACATTCATTGTGTTAAGGAGTAAGATGGGATGAATTCTTCAGACCAGGGTCTCCATGTGATAGGGAGGGACCCTTCTTTACTGAGCACTGAAGCGGCATCTTCTTCTTCACTTACGAAGGCCTGTGGGAACAGTGAGAAAAATTGGGATTAGGAAGGCCCAGGTCACAAATAGAAAACTTTTCCAAAGGAAAGTTCTTTACCCAGATAAAAGAAGACTCAGGGTTAACTGGATTCTCATCTTCAAGTTTTCAAAGGGTTTTTCAAAGAATTCTATTGTTCCATGGTGGTCAAGGAGAGGAAATGGGCTTAAAAAGTCCGTTGACTCTCTGACCGTAAAGGAAGTTAATCCGTCCTTCCCTCAAATAAAAGCTAACTTGGTACCATGTGCCAAGTACTGAGCTACGCCCTTTACAATTATTATCTCATTTGATCCTCACATTAGTTGCTATTATTATCCCAGTTTTACAGATGAGGAAACTGAGGCAGAAAGCACTTAAGGGACTTGCCCAGGGTCACATAGCTAGTAAGTATCTGGGGCTGGATTTGAACTCAGGTCCTCCTGAGTCCAGTCCCAGCACTCTGTGCATTCTAGCATCACCTAATATCTCTCATTCAACTGGGGTACAGGCAATTGTTCAGTTGCTTCAGTTATATCTGACTCTTTGTGACCCCATTTGAGGTTTTCTTGGCAAACACACTGAAGTAGTTTACCATTTCCTTCTCCAGCTCATTTTACAGATGAGGAACTGAGGCAAACAAGGTTAAATGATTTGCCCAGGGTCACACAACTAGTAAGCGTATATGAACTAGTAACTGTCTGAGGCCAGGTTTGAACTCACGAAGAGGAGTCTTTGTGATTTCAAGCCCAGTGCTCTTTCCACTGCGCCACCTAGCCATCCCATGGATAACTGCATACTTAATTTCATAGACTTGTAAGATCTGGAACAGGAAAAGATTTTAGATATCATCTAGTAAAGTTCAACCCCACCTCATTTATAGATATAAAGAAATGAGGTCTAGAGAAATTAAATGACTTTCCCAAAATCACACATGGAATAAACAGCAAAACTGGGTTTCAAACCCAAGGCCTCTGACCCCAAAGTTAATGCTCTTTCTATTACTTGAGAGCCCAGGAGTGTGCTATCTGATAAGACATTCCTTCTCAAACATCACTAACTTCCAGTGTTCCTTGATAATGAATTAAAGAATGAAAGAATCCATTATAAAAATATCAGATAATCTAAAAATAACTTAAATCTGGTTTTAGAGTGCTTTTGGATCACATACATTAACTGATGGTGAAGAGAGGCGTCACAAGAAGGTTTTTAATAACAGAAGAAGCCAAGTTGAGATATAAATTTGTTGTAGAAATTCTACAAAGATAATTTGATAAATGCCCAATTTTAATAAAAAGGTCTGGGAACGGTCAATTGCATAAGATCCACGAAAAACTTCTTTGAGTCCCCTAACCCTATCTAAAATATCTACTTTAGAATCTTGAAGACCTCAGAGAGAAAAAAAACACAACAACTTTATGGAGAAAGATACCAAACTTAGCTTTACAACATGTGTCCGCATGGCCACATCAATGAGGACACACTCCTTAATCCAAAGGATTGTCCCCCAAAAGGTCTCACGGGAAGTGTAGACGTATTCACAAGAACTTGGTCAGGGGATTGCAAAGTACCAAAGACAGTAACATAGTAGAAAGAGACTGGGCATGGATGCTTGCCTGGAGGAATTGGGCCTTATAGGCACAGGAAAAATTTTGTCTGCTAAAAGGGACACAATACTGGAGAGAAATAGTGTGCATCTAGGACAATGAAAATTGAAGCATTTAATTCACTGCATAGAGGCATTACTATAAAAGAATGCCAACTCTGTCCCAGGACCTCCATCTGTCAAATCCCAGATAAACAAGCCACTAGTGGAGAGGTCCTACTGTGAGGGAACATATATGGAATATCAGGGCTTTGAGGGTTTCTCCCTCTAGGGCCTATACTTACAGGTATGTCTGCTTGAACAATAGGTTGGAGGGCTTTTCATTGACATGGTAGAGAGGAAATGGATCAAATCCACCAATGAAATCAACTGAAAGAAATTAAGACCCAAATAAAACAAAACCAAAGCGTGGCAGATGGTGTAAAAAAAAAAAAACAACGAAACTAAACCAAACCAACAGAAGCAGCAGCATGTAATGACAGATGGACACATGAGAGATCCTCTACAATAGACAGGAACGGACATTCCTGGCTCCCCCCCACCCCCACTGGCAGCCTCAGGGAAATCAAAACACCATACCCACTCCAGGACTCCAGCAAACCTACTTTCTCTGGAAAGGAAGTGGTTTAGCAGGTGACTTCCTACTTGAATGTTTTTAAACAGATTACAACAAAGAAAGATCACAGGAGCACAGATTTAGAGCCAGAAGAGGTCTTAGCCCCTTCTAGTCCAAAGGTTTTTACAAATAAGGAAACTGAGGCCCAGAGAGGTTAGATGATTTGCCTCTGGTCACAGAGACAGAGCCCAGGTCCTCTCACTCAAGGTTCTAGTGCTTAGCGCTTGATTCTATCCTTTAATCACTTTGGTACGCAATCAGCCCCATGTGAAAAGAGGAACATTCCCCAGTGATGCTGCTTTGGGAGGGAAGATGGGGAGAACCATACCACCTGGCTGTGCCATCAGTTTTTCCTCAAAGCTACCCAGGCTTATCAGATGTGTTTGCGAGTTTAGCCAAGATTAATTTGTGTCTGAAATGCTAATAGGCCAGTAATATTTGTGGAGAAAATTTAATATCATTGAACCCTGAAACTACTTTGTATTTTTAAAAGTGTTTCTTAAAATAAATAATAGCCAAAATGCAAAGACTTCCTTGTTTCCTGTGATGGAACAATGCACTTAATTGACAAGCATTCCATTCAGCCCAATAAGCATCATTATAGGAAAAAAAAATGGTAAGTTGTTCTATCAACTGTAGTATGTGTGTGTGGGAAACCTAAAGCTATGGGGCATCTTCTGAATAGTGCCTTGAAGTTGGCAACAGATTTGTCTAAGGATGGAGACTGGAGTGAATTTCTCTAGACCTCCTCCCTGGCATCTCTTGATGAGCAGTAATGGAAGGTGAGGAACAAGAAAGGAGATATTCTTCCCAGCATCCTTTGCAGGTTGTTCTGACCTGTGGGAAGTTCTGCATTTCCATTCACAGGACTCTGGGCATTATTTAAGCAGTGGCCCAGGACGAATTCCACTTGGGCATGGAGAGTGGTTGTTTAGGGAAAACATTAAAGTTACCTTATCTCAATTAGGCTTCATCTGTGGTTCCATCCTAGCATAACCTGGTCCTACCAAGCAGAAACCTTTCTACCTTGCCTCATTTGCAGGTAGGGATGCAGCCCACAATTCCAATGGTAGACACTACTAACATACACACTCTCAACATTGGTAATTTGTGGCTGTAAATGGATGTGAAGCTCTCAATTCAAGCCTTGGGAGATTTTCTTTAATGGACAGTTTCACATGACTGTTACATTGTTAGATGTTCCCTTGATGAAAACCTCATGCCTGCTCCCTGGCACAAGAGGATTCTCTTGATCCACTATCTCATGAAAACCCCATCCCTGCTTACTTACTTGCTGATGAATCTGCCTGAACACTTAGAACTACTTCATGCTCAATATCAAAGGAGAATTTAAAAGAAACCACAAATAGAGGAGAAAATTAAAATGCTGCTCAAATTTTTCAGGTCAGTGAAAGGACTAGCCCCTTCTGTAAGCCTAGAATACTGATGGCTTGTCAGTGTTAATTATTCAACCTGGCATCCCCCAGCTGAGGATGAGACAGGGCTGAAACATACCAGCAGTCTCAGCTTCCCCAGCATCTGCATGATTTCTAGAGACTTCATTCACTGGCAACAGGATCTTTCATACTAAGTATATGTGAAGAGTTACATTACAGATAGAGAGGCAAAAGCCCTTGTATAAAACTTCTAAGGTGGTATTTCTCTGTGCATTGGAACTTTAGATATGAAACTCATGACATATGATTTCCTTTGGGCCTCACAATAACCTGTCCTCATTTTATACATGATGAAATGGTCTCATAGAAGTTAAGGGACTTGCCCAGATTCACACAGCTAGTATGTACCAGAGGCAAGACTTGAACTCAGGTTTCTTGTTACTCCAGGTCCAAAGCTCTTTCCACTGACTTAGTACTTTCAGAGAAAAACTCCAAAGTATGAAACAAGTTCAGGTGCCAAGAGTGTATATGGAAAATGTCAGTGCTGGTTTGGCTTTGCTTTCTGGAGAGAACTTTCCGCAACACTGCTAGTGCTCCCCATGCCACCTAGAGGGCTCATATCATCACACACTCTGCATTCTCATTAAGGATTTTGATTAGGGGAAGGGAACACCTCTATTTTGCAATTAGCATCAAAACAGATGAAAAATATGGTGGACAGTTAGTTGTCCAAGATGAGCATCTGCACCTATCTGTTTACCAGGGGTGGGGAACCTGTGGCCTCAAAGCCACATGTGGCCCTCTAGGTCCTGTGGCCCTTTGACTGAATCCAAACTTCACAGAATAAATCCCCTTCATAAAAGGATCTGTTCTGTAAAACTTGGACTCAGTCAAAAAGCCACACCCAAGGATCTAGAAGGCCACATGTGGCCTCAAGGCCTCAAGTTCCCCACCCCTGGTAGACCAGTGATTTTTCTCTCCTTGGGTCTTGCTAGCTGATTGCTTTATATGGTAATTCTGTTTTTAAAAAAAATACAAAGAATGAGGATTTTCAGCTCCTACTGAAAACAGTGGTGGAATTTAAGCTTCTAAACTTCCCGAGTCTCTTGACATTTTCCACTGGAAATTCAGGGAAATCAGTTTTTGGAAACAGCTTGATATGGCCACAGAGAATCCATCCATCTGTTGTTTCCTTCCTGTCCCTTCATACCTGCTGAGTTACCATCAGCCACCCCTGGCCCTCACCCTTTATTTGATGCCTAAGGAAATGCTGAGCAGGCAGCCTTTATTTTTTCACCTACACTTCTAATCATGTATGCTTGACGTAAGGGAGAGCTGACAAAGGTATGGGAAGCCCTCATGCATGCTAAGGCATGTAAACAAGACATATTTATGTTTTATAAATTCTTGTTGCCTGTCATTTGTCTACCCCATTATTTTTGGTTAGCACAATGGCCCTGGTAGGACTCTACTGGAAGACTGAAAAATCTATGATTTGGAGTAGGAATAACACTTTCCCTACCACTAGTGCTTGAATGCCATCTGCTTCCCACCGAGAGAAGGAGGTGAGCTCCCTTCTCAGTGAACACCCACAACCTTTGAAGCTTCCTCCTCATTTTCAATGCAAGTAGCCAAGGGTTCTCTCTGATTCTCAATTCAAATGGTTATTTGTGTCTTTTACACTTTTAGCTAGCAGAAGCGGCCAAACACCAGCTTTTGCATAACAGGAAAAGTTAGTGTTCAGGGGAGAGGAAAAGAATTCTCAGTGCTTAGACTTTCATTGTCAGGTCTGAGCTATGCTAATAGGTGCTGGCAACATTGCAAAATAAGGATAGAAAAATACTGTTTTTCTTCCCTGTCTTTCGCCTTTCCATATCCCCCCTCTTTTCTCTATCTCTCCTCTCCTTTCCTTCCCCTCAGAATTAGGATTCCCTTTCTTCCTCTTCCCTTCCCCTTCTTACCTCCTTTCTTCCCCTTCTCCTCCCCCTTACCTCTTTCTTCCTCTAATCATTCTCCCTTCCTCTCTTCCTCTCCTATACTCTCCTTCCCATCCCCTCATCTCCTCTCACCTTCCCACTTCTTTCTCTCTATTATTTCATCTCCTTCTTCCCCTCTCCTTCCTTTCCTTCCTTGACCTCTCCTTTTCCCCATCCTCAACTCTTCTTTCCCTCTTTCCCTTCCTCTCATATGCCCCTTTCCCTTCTTTCCTCTCTCTTCCCCTTTCCTCCCCTTTCTCTTCTTCCTTTCTTCTCCTCTCCCACCTTCTACCCTTTCTTTCCTCTCAATTCCTTCCTTCGTCCTTCTTCAGTCTGCCTTCCCCTCCTGATGGGGTTGGAATCTGAGCCCCAGAAAGGAAAAACTCTGGCCCTGATGGGGTTGGAATCTGAGCCCCAGAAAGGAAAAACTCTGGCCCCAGACCATTCCCCACCCTTGGGAATTCTATTACCTCATGGACTACTTGGCCACTCTCCCACAGTCTTTCTGTATATAAGGTCCATCTTGTCTCCATTAAGATGCTCAGATTTTTACAATCTAGCCAATAGCCCATAGATGCTCAGACTCCTTAAGAGTCTAGCTAATATGGCGAATCTTCAATAAACTTTGTTTTTGGCTGCAAGAAGGCTTGGGTGGAATTCTTTCGGGCAGGACCCCTAACCTCTAGACCACATCACTCCTTCATACATCCAATTCCTGTATTCTTCTTTCTCTTCCCTGATTCTTCTGTTCTCCCGTCTCTCCCTCCCCATTTCTTCTACTTCTCTTCTCTTTCCTTACCATTTCTGCTATTATTCCTCTCTTCCCTGTTTTTTTCATTCTTCTCATATCTTCTATTTCTTTCCTCTTACTTAAGCTTTCTATGGGACTGTGGGATGTGATTCCTTCAGAAATGGATTGCTATCAAAACCACTGCTTAAGAATCTTTAATTGAATACTTACAGCTATCTTCTTCCTCTGTGAAGACACTGACCACGTAACAGGCATACACAAAGCCCACCAACTACAAGAAAAGAAGGGGGAAAATGAGAAGCAATTTGGTTTTTTTTCAGGAACATGAACTTACAAGATCAGATAATGTGAACCTCTACCACCTCTTGGTGAGGTTTCAGTGGTTCAATGCCATATGCCAGCTGTGTGCCAGAGGAAGAATATGGCAAAGTGAGCTTAGTGAAAGGACCAGAGCCAAAGTAAAACAGGAACACACACACACACACACCAAAAAAAAAAAAAAAAAAAAACACAGAAAAAAGAGTTATACAGAGAAAAGCTGACTAGGAAGTGCAATTGAAGAGGTTTACCTACAATTCCCAGAAAAACCTTAAAACTTTTAGATTCCTTCTAGACTCACTTATCTTTCTTTGACAAAAAGAACCTGGCTTCAGTTTTGTTTGCCTGTCCCAGGAAACCCTTGAAGTTTTAGAAACTTCCTTATTTCCCTTTGAAAGCAAACTTCCCCTTCCAGCTCCCTTCATTATCTATTCTCGTTGTCTGTTCAAATCACTCAGACATTCCAAAAGGAAATTCTCACCTGGACCCTTTTCCAAATGGTCCACCTCCCCCATCAACTGGCTTTCCCATTGTTTTGCCTTCCTGGCCATTCCCACCCTTAATCCTAGCTAGGTGCCACTGTTCGCCCCAGCTTGCTGGCCACCCCCATCCAGATCTCCCTAGACCCCTCCTCCCCTCACCCCAAACTGCTTGGCCACTCCTTGGACCCCTCCTCCGGTCATTCCAAACTGGATGGCCCCTCCCTCAGTCTGTACTTAAGACTCACCTTTCCCCCATTCTGATGCTGAGCTGTTCTCAAGCTTAGAAGCTGAGACCCCTCATGCCCGCCCATCCTAAGGGCGTCACCTGGCCTGACCACCCTAGCCCCAGCCCCCACTCAGACGCTGAGCTTTCTAGACTGCCCTCACGCTGCTTGTCCTTGTGAGCGACATCTGACCACCTTGAACCCTATTTAGATCACTGATGTTTGGGTTCCTTTGGAGTCTGGCCTATATGCTTATCTTTAATAAACTTCTTCTCTGGCTGGAAGATCTGAGTTGAATTCATTCAGGTAGATCCGTGCCATGATTTGGGCTTTTTCCCATGATCTGGGGTGACTCTGTGCATCTAAGAGCACCCCAAAGCCCCCACCCCTCTTCACAATGACAAATTAAAACTGGAAATTTATAACCTGGTTGTTGGGAAGGAAAACTTGGGGATTTAATAAGAGAATGGTTACTATCTCTTTCCTCTCTAAGCAATATCTCTCCTTTGGCCACTGAGGGCCACCCTGGAAGCTGAAGATCTTTAATTTCTAGTCATCATCTTCAGATTGTAGGTAGAACTCTGATGCATCCTGTACTCATTCAAAGCAAAGTAAAGGTTAAGAAGTATTCCAGTGAATTCTGACACCATTTGACCCAGCTGGTTAATTCAGACCAATAGACGGAGGTGTTGGCTTTAAGTACTAAATCACACAGCACAGGCAGCAAGAATACTCAAAATCATCAGTTCTCTCATGTCTGGAATGATGTAGACTGGCTGCCAATATTGCCTAAAGTCACCAGATACTTTTACAATTGGATCAAGCTTTGGACTGATGGTCCTGACCAAAGAGCTTCTGAGCTCTATTTAGGAAAAGTCCTGATTTCTCTCTGGGCTGGGGAATGAAGCTTGGCTGAAAGGAAGCCATTCTTCAAACAGAACCAGACCAGAACAATTCAAACTTAAGGCACCATCAGAAGGAAGTAATGACTGAGCACCCTTGCCTTTCTAAAGAATTCCATTGGCTCTCAAGTTCTAATCATAATTTTTATCATCAAGCAGATCACATCAAACCAGGCTTCCCTTTTCTCCACTCAGGTAACTCAGTCCTTCTTCCACTTTTCAGTGGAAGCTATAAGTAGCAGCTCACTTTCCTTGATTTGAGGCGACACTAACAATATTATTAAAGTTATCATGTAGCAGGACTGCTCATTTCCCACAGTAAACTCAATCCTCTTTAACAAGAATTAGAATACAACCAACAATGATTCATTTCCAGAGAAGACAGGATGATACATGGAGAGGCCCAGGAAACAGGGTCATTCATTTATAATATGACAGAAAAATACATCACAACTACAACAAAAGCAAGCTAATGAGATTTCTACTGAGGGACTCTGAGCCATGCATCTGTTTGGCAACTCTCCCTAGGGACGAACAATTTTATACAAATGCATTTTGGGAAAAGTTGAATTAAAATCTTGTATTTCTTCTGAACTTCTCGAGTAACATCAAGGATGGCAATGGCCAGGGTTACTGACACTGCTCTGTTGGTCTCTAAGTAGCCCCCAGCACAGGGAACAATAAAGATTCCTTTTTTTAATCCCACCTCAACAAGCTGGAGTCCATGTGGGTATGCCATATTCAAATCATTTTCCTGGCAGGTGGCAACATCAAAAGTTAAAATCCTACTCAAAGCTATATTTGTCTGGTAATCCTATAAAATGCTTTAATTATGCCAAGGCAGGAGGACCCAAAGCATTGCTATTTAAGACAAATTACAAAAGTTATACCAATAAATTTTCCGTTTCTTGTGGTAGTACTTTGCTAGTGGGAAACTTCCAATAAGACTAGGACTCTGACTTGAGTTCTAAGGATGACCAAAGGATGTAATTGACTGGGATCTGGCCATGGTACTAAAGAAAGACATTTAATTTTTACCACTACACAAGGAGCTAGATAAGGATTTATTTTCCCAGTGACAGTATCTCACCTTTGAGAAGAATTCAACTTTCCCTCCACTCCAGCTACCAGGTTTTTTCACTGATCTTCTGCACAAAACGTGTTTTCTAGCAACTATGCCTTCTCTCACACCATCCCCCCTACTTTCTGCTGAGACAAATCTTAACCACTCTCCACAGCCCATATTTCCTGGGAAATCTTCCAAATTGTTCTAACCTATAGTGGTCTCTCCTTCTCCGAACTTTTAGTTCATATAGTTTCTTTGCCTACCAATTGGCACTTAACTAATCACATAAGGTCACATATTCTCTCAGTGAAATGAGCCCTAGACTTGAAGTCAGAAGACCTGGGTTTGAATCCTGTTCTGCCACTTATCATGTGTGGCTATGTGCAAGTCTTTTTCCTTCACAGGCCTCAGTTTCCTCATCTGTAAAATAAAGAGGTTAGGCCAAATAATACCCAGCTCCATTTTTATGTGATTCTATAGACTATGAGCTCCCTGAGAGATGAAACTGAGTCTTATACTTTTTAGCAAGCTGCACAGACTCCCGAAAATAATGCTCAGAAAATGTTTAGCTAATTAATTATGATTTCCATTCATCACAATGTCATTAAGAAAATTCTTTTTCCTATTGTGCTGTAAGAAACGACAAAGGGAATGGCTTCAGAAAAACCTGGGAAATGGGGGCAGGTAGGTGGCAAAGTGGATAGAGCACTGGCCCTGGAGTCAGGAGGACCTGAGTTCAAATCCTGCCTCAGACACTTGACACTTACTAGATGTGTGACCCTGGGCAAGTCACTTAACCCTATTGCCTAGCAAAAAAACAAAACAAAACCAAACCTGGGAAGACTTGTATTAACTGATGCAAAGTGAACTGAGCAGAACCAGAACATTGTACAAAGTAATAGCAATATTGTAACCATAATCAACTGTGAAGGGCTTTAATCAATACAATGATCCACAACAAATCCAAAGGACTCATGATAGAAATTGCTAACCACCTCTAGAGAGAGAACTGATAAACTCTTGAATATAGATTGAACATTTTTCACTCTATTTTTCTTGCTTTTTTCACAACATGACTAATATGGAACTATGTTTTGCCTGACTTCACATATAAATGGGTATTGTGTTGCTTGCTTTCTCAGTGGGTGGGGGCAATGCTGCAAGGAGGGTGAGAATTTGAAACTAAAAATTTTAAAATAGATTTGTTTTTTAAAAAAGAATTTATTCTTCCCAGGGGCAACATGGTGTAGTAGAAAAGCACTGCTCTTGAAACCAGAAAACCTGGTTCATGCCCTAAACTTACCACTCACTAGCTATATGACTGCTCAAGTCTCTTCATCACCTTGAACTGGCTTCCTCATTAATCTTGCCACATCATAGCTATCTACCTTGTTTTCTTCAAAAGTTTATGAGACTAATGAGAGACAATATATGAGAAAATGCTATGTAACTATAAAGTGCTGTATCATATATTTGCATGTTTGGGTTTAGACTTATGATTTCTTTCTTATGGTGAAATCCTGGTAAAGAAACTTCTATCAACTATACTGGCAACTGTTTTGCAACCTATGATAGTCTTAGATATATTTTCCTAGTGTAGTGAGAGATAAGTGACTGGCCAGTGTCAACCAGCCAGTATGTATTAGAGGCAGGACTTGCTAACTCACAGTGCAGCCTTTTATCCGCTATGTCACATTATCTCTAAGCAATTATACTGTAGTATTAAATACCAGGAAAGAGGATGTTCTTATTCCTAAGTATATGGAAATCTCAACCCAGAGTCAGTTTCAATGAAGCATAGTACTTTAGCAAAGTCTCTTTCAACTCTGAAGATCCCAAAATAACACATTAACTCATTTGTAGCCATCTCTGGTGGGAGGGCAACTGGCTACTGCACTGTGCGGAGTGCCCATGTTAACTCAAAAGTCATGGGAGTAGATAAAGCCTTAACTCTTAAGGTGCCATATTGTGCCCAAGCAATCAAATTGGTAGACCAACAGGCAGAAACTAATGTTGTTGGAGTTGGGCCTGTGGCTTTTATGAGGTTTCATTCATATAGATACCTCTGATCTTGTCTTCTATAAGGCTCATTGCTTATATTATGACTCAGATCTCCAAATATCTTTGTTGTTTTTTTCATGTGGTTGGAGAAATAGCCTTTCAAAATCAGATAATTTCAGGGCTGAAAGGGACCTTAGAACCTGTCCACTCCAATCTCCCCCAAAGGAGGGATCCCTACAGCTACCCTGACAGTAACTGTCCCCAGAAATACAACCTGG